TGATGGGAGGAGCAGGTGAGGAGGAGGATGGGGAGGAGGTGTGATTCATCAGTCTGACGGGTTCTACAACAAAGACTGTTGCAGGTGAAGAGACGAGCAGAAGAGAGCTCCTCCTACGTTTCCCAGAATGCACCAGGATGGTATAGTGAACATTCAGTCTGTAACATGTGAGGACACGTTTCTCTGCTTTCGTCTCCAAGCTCTCCTCCTGAACACAGGCGTCACAGAGCGAATGTGAAGCCGTCAGAGCTTTCTGTGACGGACGTCAGCAGCGACGCCTCCGACTTTCTCTTTGATCGGCGTTTTAAATGTCAGAATATGTGAAGGCACCGTGGAGCTGCTGGACTCTAACAGTGAAATCAGGACTTCATCAGCAGCACATTTCATTCGTTATCTGACAGCTCAAAGAGAAAAATCTGTAAATCAGTTGTGTTGCACTCAGCTGCTGTCCAGAACCCACATGCTGCTCATTCACAGGCTCAGGTTTGAAGTCTGCAGCTCTACAGGAACAACTTCACTGTTTTAACGTTCAGCAACATTATTGTTCTCATAGTTCACATCACTGACACCCACGACTCCTCTGGAGGAGGAACAAGAAGGAGACGAGTGAGAGAGGCCAGCAGGACTCCTATGACTCCTCTGAAGGAGTTAAATCTGGACTAGAGTTCACCAGAAGACATGTGGAGACTCTGAAGTCACCTGGAAGAAGGTTCTTTGGTCTGAGGAGACCACAATGGAGCTTTTGTCCATCAGACTAGATGTTATGTTTGGAGGACACCAAACACTGAACATCACCACTAACAACCTGATGCAGTCTGCAGGAGAACTGAGACGTGGAGAAGACTTGGTTTCCATCAAGACAATGAGCCGAAGCAAACAGCCAAAGCTCCACAGAGATGGTTTGAAGACAACAAGGTGAAGTTCTGGAGGCCCAGTCAGAGTCCAGACCTCCATCCAGCTGAGAATTAGAGTCTGGACCTGAAAAGTTCTGTTCCCTCATGATCCCTGTGGAACCCGACAGAGTCTGAACAGCTTCATCAGAACAATGCGGTGAAGCTGCAGCGTCCAGATGTTCAGGCTGATGGAGACCAACAGAACCAGTGATGGAGCTGAAGGTCCATCTGCTGAGGACTGGCTGGAGGAGGAGGATGTTTATGCTGGTTTTACATTTTTTATTTTTACTACTTTGTCGTCACTTTGACATGAAAGAGACGTTTTTGTAAATTCTCCTGAATGTAGAGAAGCAGCAAAGCTTCTTCTTCAAGCTCTGCGTTCAGCCTGGATGATCTAAACGTGGAGCTTAAATCCAGTCGTTTCTCTGCACCATGTGAACCGAAGCGTGTCAGAGCTGCTGGGTGTCCCTGGTCTGCATCAGCAGCTTTAACCAGATGTTCAGTTGCTGCTGAACATGAACCTGTGATGGATGAAGCGTTCCTCACCGATGCGGCTGTCCATCACGTACGTCTCTATGATGGCGCTCTTCCTGCAGATGTCTTCAGCCATCGACGAGCAGCTCACCTCCAGATGTTTCACCTGGAACACGACAATGCATTAAAAGGTTTTGGAGACTTTTTTAAAATGAAGTGACGGCTGAACTAACACTTGTTTAATAAAAGCTGAGGCCCGGTTCTTTGTGTGTCTGCGGTGGACTGTGCTGGTCTGCAGCGTCAGCGCCGACCCAGTGGATCCATATAAACTGTACAAACAGTGCAGGACATTAATAATGCATCTAAAAATATACGTCTTCAAGCAGGAGCCACTTTTACTGTTGACCGGCTGTCGAGTCGAGGAACAAAGTGAAGCGTTAAAAGAGCTGAGGCGTTAAATCAGGACGGTCGCTGCCGTGTGCACGTTGTGCCGCCGTCCGGGGCGACGGCCTGGTCGCCGCGGTAACAGGGGGATGCTCACCTTCTCCTCCAGCATCCACTTCTCCTGCTGGACCTCGGCCAGACGCTGGAACAGCTCTCCCACCTCGTCGTCGGACAGCTCGGCCGGACGCTGAGACTGAGGACTTCCTCCTCCGGACTGACGACAGACAGAAACCAGACGTGAGTCCTTTCAAACACCACTCAAGACATTCAAGGCATCTCTTACACACATTTTTACTGTTTTCATCTAATTTGGACGGATTTTAAGACATTTCTAACTCATCTGGACACGTTTGAAGACATTTCAAGTCGTTTTGCACCATTTTAAACTTTTTTTTTTACTTTGGAATATTTTCTAATGATTTTCGAGGCGGTTCGAGTCGTCTGGACCGTTTTTAACTCCTTACTTTTGGATATTTTGTGAGTGACTCTGGACGGGTCACGTCCAGGAGCCACTGCTTGTTCTGGTAGCTCTGCTGACATCGTGATCGAAGCGGTTGGATCCGGTTGTCAAGCAAATTTTATGGAAAACTTTGGAAACGTTGGAAAAAAAAAAAAAAAAACAAAAAAGGACATGAATGTGAAACTGGGTTTGTTGATCAGTTCACTGTTTGGGCTCTAAAATGTCTGAAAAAAGTGAAAAACGTTGACCAGAGTTTCCTGAAACACGAGATTACGAATGTTTTGTTCTGTCTACAGATGTTTACTGTCACAGAAGAGGAAAGAACTGAACATATTTACATTTATGGACTTTTTTTTGTTGAATTTTGATTAATTATGAACGAATCGCTGCAGCTTTACTTCTTGCTGCCTCTGAGGAGAAATAAATCACGTTTTTCTGCATTTACTGAAGCTGCCAATGTGAACAGCTGTGAGTTACTTTTATAGTTATACTTTTAACTTGTTAAAAACGTTGGCGTCGACGGAGGGAACGGACGTAAAGGTTCTGCTGCCTTCAGCTGAACTGTAGAACTGATCCGACCGTTCATCACCTGCCAGCTAAAACCTTCCTCCTCCGGATGCTCAGTCTGACAACGTGGAGCTAAAAACATCATCTGAAGCCCACCGAGGCTTCGTCACCAGACGTCGTCATGTGACTCTGTTGCCACGACGACGGCAGTAAACTGACCCGTACGGCGTCACGGCGCCGTCGGCTCTATTTACAGAGTTTCTATCAATAGAAAGTTAAATTCAGCAGCAGGAACCTCAAACGCACCTGAGAAAACAAAGGCAGCAAAAGAAAAGCAGAGGCGATGATGGGATGTCAGCACATCGCCGTGGCAACAGCTGTAACAACAACGCAGCCACGGAGCGATAAACCCGTTCGTCTGCTGATTGTTTTCCCAACTAATGGTTTATTATCAGGCTTCAGAGCAGCAGAACATCGTTTTCAGGTTGAACTGCAGGCAGTGTTTCCACAGAGGCCGGAACATGGAGCTAGTGCAACATCTGCAGGACGGTGAGACGATAGTCCCAGTGTTTAACATCTGGAGACACGGTTCTCATGGTTCTACCTGAGTCCTGCTGACAGAACACGTCTCTGAGTTCTCTCTCCTGCTTCAAGTTCTGGTTCCACAGAGCTGCAGGACTTTATGTTGCAGTTAAACATGAACCCAGTGAGTTAAAACGCTGACTGGTCTGAAACTGCATTATTACTGATGCTCCGCCCACCTTGTTCTGATTGGTCGGCTGGGCCTCCTTCATCATGTCTCTGTAGGAGAAGGACGAGACGGACGACGAGTCTCCGGTCTGCTGAGTCCGACTGGGACTGTTGATCTCCGACAGAACCAGCTCCTCCAGACCTGGACCAGAACCACAGAACACAGTTAATGATATATAACTGTCAGCTGTTTGGACCTGCAGACACCGCCCCTTTAAGAACCAGGCCCATCCCTTTAACAACCAGGCCCATCCCTTTAAGAACCAGGCCCATCCTTTTAAGAACCCGTCCCTTTCAGAACCAGACCGTCCCTTTAACAACCAGGCCCGTCCCTTTAAGGCAGGTGCAGCAGCATAAGTAGGCTACTTTAAAATGTCTGATTCTCAGGTTTGTGCTGAAGAGCTTTTAAACATTCAGCACAGCTCATAGATTATACATGAAGCTGAGGACTGCCCTGCACTGCTGCCACTCAGTGTGTGTGTGTGTGTGTGTGTGTGTGTGTGTGTAAACCAGAAGAAAACGTGTGATCGGTCCAAGAAATACAAAAACATGCAGCAGAACACAAACATTAAACAAACAGAGAAAAAGAAAACTTTGATGCAGAAAAACAGAAGAAGTTCTGGAGGTGTGTGTTTCATTAGTGTGTATTTTGTTTGTGTGTGTGTGTGTGTGTGTGTGCAGCAGACGCCAGTGTGTCCACCAGAGCGCTGGGAACCAGAGCGCGGCATTAAATATTCAGCAGAAGGTTCCGGACTGAGCCAGAACCTCCTGACGCAGAGGTTAGCATGCCGCCGATTACGGACCCATTGGTCACGTTACCATCACATCTCAGCCTCCCAGGACACACACACACACACACACACACACACACACACACACACACACACACACACACCCACACACACACACACACACACACACACACACTCTCCTTAGAGCATTTAAAGGGGAGCGCTGTCCATTTAGCAGATTTAAATCCTCACTGTGAGTTTCACTTCAGGTTCTGATCAATAACCTGCAGCTGCAGCAGCACAGACCGTTGTGTGTCTGTTTGTGGCTGTTTTGTGTCTCTTTGTATCTTTTCTGATCAGAGGCGGCGGATCAATAACGTGCAGCTGTACTGTCCACGTCTCTTCCAGAAGGTGAGCTCAACACAAGGATGCATGTTTTGAACAATCAGTAATCAATTAATTGTAAATGTGAACAAGTGAGCTCTGGTTGGAGGTCCTGAACCTCCTCAGAGTCTCTGTCATGGTCCCGTTGCTGCTAAACTCCCACAATGCTCTCTGCTGCCACCATGAGCTGTAGTCTGTAGACGCCTCCTCTGGTCTCTACAGGACTAAACAGGAAGAGGCTCCACCTGGTGGAACAACCAGGTACTACAGCTGGTCTACGATACGTTTCCTGACATCGCGACCTTCTTCTTCTGCTTTGTCGGTTATATTTTTAATTGATATCGATAACAACACAGCTCCAGGTGCGTCTACCTGTCCTGGTTTTGCTGTTGGTCAGGATCTCCTGGAGTCTCTCCTGCAGCTTGTCTGCTCGCTTCCTCTCCAGCTGCAGCTGCCGCTTCAAGTCCTTCAGCTGCACACAAACACACACAACCGCACACACAGATTTACTTTCTAATTATTATTTTCCATGCACGGCTGCTCTCAAATTGCTCTGCAAAAATACTTTCTCTCTCTCATCTCTATTCAAATTGTCCTCCGTCTGTCTCCGCCATCACTCTGTCCATCAGACAGTCAGACAGACAGTCTACAATCAGACAGACAGTCTACAGACAGACAGTCAGACAGTTTACAGTCATAAACACAATCTACAGTCAGACAGTTTACAGTCATAAACACAATCTACAGTCAGACAGTTTACAGTCATAAACACAATCTACAGTCAGACAGTTTACAGTCAGACAGATAACTTACCGCTGCACTTCCCTTCTTCTCCAGGATCCTCTGACCGTCCACCGTGTCCTTTATCTCCTGCAGAGAGAAAACAGTCTGAACTTCTGATTCTGTGGAGCTTCAGAGCTTCACCAGTTGGTCCATGAACTGATTGATCATCGTTGGAGGAGTTTTTCACACACAAACACGATGGATCAGTGTCCCAGATATCAGAATTGGCTGCTTTTGATCGTCTTACATTTTTCCCTCACCCTGACAGAAGTATTTGCTCAGTTTTGTGCCCTGACCAGAGCTTTTTTGATCTATTTTCTCGTTACCAGGAGGTGGTAACGTGGCCACTACGTCATAACAGTTCTCTATAAGAACCACCTCAGCCACATCCACACAGTTAAACACAGACAGGACTAGAGAAGGAAAGCATGTTGAAACTGTTGTGTTTCATATATAAGGTGTGATAAAGACGATGTAAACCTGTAGAGACCAGAAACTATCTGACTAGTTGACCTCTTCAGCGTGGCCTACAGTGCTGCTCTGCTCCCAGAGCTCCACTCTGGACGTCCACTGGAGCTCAGAACAAACATCAGACACTGATTCAACCATTTCCTGCCACTTGCTTCCCAAAATGAAACTCCAGTTGAGGAGTGTTCGGTTTAGGAGACTGATCTCAGATGTTTCCTGAACAGGACGTCCAGGAAGAGCTGAAGTGTTGCAGGAGCTCTGGAAGCAGAGCAGGTCTGCACCAGGAGAAAACCAAGACAAGCTCTCTGGTTGGACCTCAATCAGGTACAGCTTTTGACTTTTGTGTCTCCTTGTAGTCATTTTTAGTCCTTAATTTGTGGCGTTTTTGTGTCGCTTTCATCTCTTAGTTGCAATTTTGTGGTATTCTGAGTGTCTTTGCAGATGTTTTGTGTTTCTCTGGTAATTTTGTGCGTCTTTGTGATCATTTTATGTCTTTTTGTGGTCATCTTTTGTCTCATTGTGGTCTTTTTGTGTCTCTTTGTTGTATCTTTGTGGCATTTTTGTGCCTGTTTCTGGTCCCGTTGCATCTCTTTGTGGTCATTTTGCATGTCCTGGCAGTTGTTTTGTGTCCCTCAGCGCTCCGTTTGTTTGTCTTTGTGGACATTGTTTATATCTACATCATAATAATGTGATAAATGCTGGTAAAAGTGTAAGCTGAGCGACTGCTGTTTCATCCCCTCCTACAATAACACACTTCACTACAGTCAGCATCACAAAGTGGCCGACAATAAAGAAGCTGATGTGAGACTTGGAGCACGCAGAGATCAGAGGACCTTCTGGTGCTTTCTAAAGGTCCACGGATGCTGTGTTCAAAGTGAGAGATGCCTAAAGGTTAAAAAGCGGAGCCTCAAAGTCGGCTTTTATCTGCCGGTTCACCTGCAGAGTCACCTGAGGCCTCAGAGCGCCCAGCGATCAAACCACCGTCTGCAGTTTTACGGTTTTCTGATTACCTTTAAAGCTGGTGTTCAGACCTGCTGAAAGCTTTTACCTGTTTGAGTTTCCCGATGGCGTCCACGTGTTCGTCCTTCTGCTTCTCCACCTCCACCAGCTGCTGCTTCAGCCCTTCCATCTCCTCCTGCTTCTCCTGCAGACACACAACAAGACTTCGGCTCAAACTTTTCCTCCAGCGATGCCCCCGTCGCTCCTAATCCAGCTGACCGAGGGATTAATGCAGGAAGGGAACCTGCTTTTAATTCCCCTCTAATCTTCTGCTGCTAATTAATTTGACTGAAATCGACATTAAAGGCAGCGGCGGCTGACGGAGACAGAAAAAAGCTTGTAATTCTGCAGGAGTCGGTTAATTCCCTGTAATGTCGCACACCTCAATCAGCAACACAAACAGCTTCAGGCTTCGTTTCTGAGGAGCTCACATCCGATTACAGCGAAGCAAAGAGCAGAAATGTTAAAACGATCCACGCGGTGAAGTTTCTCAGAGTTTGTCTGATAGAAATGTCGCCCGTCATGTTAAATGATTCTTCACTCAGTGACATTTAAAGACTCGGATGTGACGCTGCTGCAACACAAACAGCTGCTTTACACACAGAACCAAGAGGACAGCATCCACTCAACGTATCCAGAGAAAATGAACACAAACCGACCAGAAACAGGTTGGAAGTGACCAAAGGAGACGCAAAACCAACTTCAACAGACGCACAACAGCCGAAAGACTCAAAACCAACAGCAAGAGCCACAAATGGTGATAAAAAGACAAGAAGGAGATGCAGAGACAGAAACAGAGACACAAAATGAACACAACCTGTTAGATACAAAACGCAAACAAAGAGATGCAAAATGAACAAACCGCAGGCGAACAAACGAACACAAAGACGCACAACAAGACCAGACGGGGATCAAAACTGACGTAAAATGAGCAGAAACAAAAACAAAACGACTACAAAAATGCACGAAGACAAACAAGTGACCACAGGAAGACAGAGACAACCACAAAGAGACACAATCTGATGCTGATTCAGTGCAAACAGACACACAACAGCCCTGCTGGGTGATTTATGTCGTCCTGTTCTCACTCCTGTGATGTAAAAACATTTTCTGCTGCTTTATTTCAAACACAAACCTTTGAATAATCCCACTGTTCAGCTCTTGTAAGGAACAAACTGATTACTTTTAACCGTGTTTGAGGCTGAAATCCAAACCGTACCTGCGTCCTGCCCACTAATTAGACCCCTCCATCGTTAATTAACTTTTCCTATTAAGATAAAACACTCAGTAATAATCAGAGTCTCTGAGGAAACCGTCCCTGAAGGAGACGCTTCCTGCTCTCTGATTGGCTGAGAGGGCTCCCGTCACGATGGTGATTATTGGTTATTGAACACACAGAAGCTTTGGTGTCACGTGAGCCTCCCCCAGTCCAACCCGCCGTTAACACCCCTTCACCTCTCCGGTTACCATGGAGACGCTTCAATTAGACACCTTCAATTACAATAACGA